CCTTCCTTCCTTCCTTCCTTCCTTCCTTCCTTCCTTTCTTTCTTTCTCTCTCTCTCTCTCTCTAACATAGGAAAGTCCTTGACTTATAACCATTTCTTTAGGGACACTCACTAAACAGGGGAATGATCCTGACAAAAAGGGACTTGCAAACTCGCAAATCCCTGGATGTGCAACCGTTGCCACTTCCCCGCAATCCAAGCGATCGAAATTTGGGTCCCTGGGAAACTGGCATGGATTTAACGGCAGTTGCAACCACCTCCCAGGCCAGGTGTGCAACCTTCCCCCAGGTGGTTTCCAACATGGGGGAAGGCGGACTCACTTAGTTGGGATTCACTTTACAACTTGCAGTGATTTGCTTAACAACCATGGCCAAAAAAATGGTGGCCAAATTGGGCGTGACTCCCTTAACCAGGTTGGCGACAATACTTCAGCTCCTAACGATAGTCGTAATTGGAGGACTCCTTGAATTTGGCAGCAGAGGTTTGGAGGTGCATTGATTGCCTTTGGCCTGGGGTCAAACTCTCATATTACAGGTTATTCCTTGTCTTACAAAGCACAAGTGAGCCCCCAATTTTTCTGTTGCTAAGCGAGACATTTGCTAAGTGAGTTTTGCCCCGTCTTACGACCTTGCCACCGTTGTCAAGTGAATCCCTCCAGCTGATCAGCTGGCAATAAATCTGGCTCCCCCTTGGATTTTGCCTTTCAGGGGGTCACAAAAGGGGGTTGTGGGTCCTAAATACGATCGTGTTTGATCACACCATCTGCATGGGTTGTAAGCGTGGGAAAAAAAACGGTCGTTGGTCCCTTTTCGCAGCGCCGTTGTAACTTTGAACGGCCACTAAGTGAACCCTCCCTCCCTCCCTTCCACTTCCAGACTGCAACAAGGTGACAGACCAGTGCCTGTCGTACTTCAAGCGCTGCGGGAGCATCTGCCACATCGACCTCCGCTACTGCAAGCAGGTCAGCCGGGAGGGCTGTGAACGGTTCATCGCGGAGATGTCGGTCAGCGTCCAGTTCAGCCAAACGGAAGAGAAACTGCTGAAGAAGCTGAGTTAGTATTTGCAAGGACAGAGTTGTAAATAGAGGCGATGAAAGCCGGGGCGGGGGAGTGGGGAGTGGGGGCGGGGGGCAAAAAGGACCCCAAGGAAGATGCTTCCATCCTCCGGACCCCACGGGAATCTACGGCACCCAAGGTTAGCCATTCGGTGCTCCGGTGAGCCACGTGCCACCTCGTGTGCTGGGAAAGATACGGACGCGCCAACTCAGAAACCGCGGCCGGAGCGTGGGGAGGACGCCCGCGTAGACTTTCGGCAGGACTCCGAAGCAGAACCTTCCTTCTGCGGTGCTGAGGGTGGGCCCGTCCCCTGCTGTTTTTTTTCTGCCTACGGGACTGTGGTTGTTGGTTGTTGTTGGGTTGTTTTTTCCTTCCCCTTTTCCCCCCATCTCCCCCGTTACATCTTGACCTTAATGCAAAACTATTTTTGTACAAAATCCCTTTAAAAAGTTATTTATGCAAAAGTTCTCGAATGCCTCTCCAGCGTTTTGACTTGGGTTTCTTCGCGTTGCCAAATGTTTCCGAAGAGAGACGACGACCGATCGGAGGGGTATCTCCCCACTTTTGAAGGGGTGGAAGGGAAAATAGGGGGGGGCGAGTACTTTTTAAGATTGGAGGGAGGGGGGGGAAATAGCATGTTTTGTATTCCGTTTTGTATGCTCGAGCAACAAGGTAAGGCGTGTGGTGCAAAAAACACGGGTGTACAGATGAAGGATGAAAGTATCATTAAATTCTTCCCATATAAAGCCCACCTTTTCCTGAATTTTGAAAGCTTTTCAGTGACAACCAATCTTCGGGGGGAAAAGTATTTAGAACAGGGGCCCCCAAACTTGGCCACTTTAAGACTTGGGGACTTCAACTCCCAGAATTCTTCAGCCAGCATAGTTTACTCTCTTGCAATCCCTTCCTCTGCAATCTCTCCTCTTTGGTGGGGGGATGAGAAAAAGATACGATTGGCTGGGGAATTCTGGGAGTTGAAGTCCACAAGTTTTAAAGTTGCCAAGTTTGGAGATCTCTGTAATTAAGATATTGGAGCTTTCAAGTTTTAAAGAGTTTTGGGGTTGTTTTTTTTAAATGAGTTGCTATAATTTAACATTTTTTTAAAAAAGAGGGCTGGGAATTCAGTATACAGTACATGAAGTGCCAATGTTGTTAAAAGTGCTGTCTCCAGTTTCATTTCTTCCTCATACGGTTTTACCTCTATTCAAATTTGTATAAACGATTGTACAGAAAATAGAGGCTAGCTTGTATTATATCTGTTGAACCTGTGTAAGATTTCCTGGAAAAGTCCCGTCCCGCCCCAAGATTCAACCTCCCCCCCCAGCCCCCCCTGAAGTTGTTTCTCAAGAGCAAACTCGGACGGCATTTTTGTGATCCAGGGGAATCCAGTTGCTTTGTCCCTTGGGGCAAAAAGTAAAGAACTTTGCTTACCTGGTGGTGTGTTTTCCCTTTTCACCAGCTGTAGAAATGATGGTTAAAAGAAATCTGCAACTCACAAAAAAGCTTTCGGGCCAGGCTGTCAAGCCTATCGGTTTTAAATACTTCCCCGACACACGCGGGGAAAATTAAGTGCCTCCTTTATTGCAGGCGGGGGACGGAGAGAGAAAAGCAGACCAAGGCCAATGGATGAAACGTTTATTAAGCCAGCCGTTAACTCAGAATGTTATGGATATGCTACATTCTCCATTATGCACGTATAGCCCTGAACGAGTCGATATTCTACACCGTCCCCTTAAGAGACAATTTTCAAACCAAAACCAACCCCGTGATGTCTTGCTCCCTTCTGGAAAAAAACGGACAACTTCAATTCTCCCCCCCCCCCACACACACACCCCCCAATCCTCCCCCAAAGCAGCAGGGCTAAATAATTTGAGATTGCAATTGGTTGCTCTTAGACCTGGCTCTTTTTAAAAAAATAATAATTCCCGTTAGGTCTGCCGTGGGTTGCTTTTTGCTGCTGCTGGGTTTGTTACCTGGTTCCTTCCTGAATGTCTACACTTCGGTGGACGTTGGGGGGGGGGGTTGGAGGGCTGGTTGGGTGCAGGGGAGCTGCAGCAGAGGGGCAGGCTACTATAGACCCCCTTCCCCCACCCCACCCCACCCCACCCCCACAGAGGCTTCCCCGTTTGCTGGGAGCTACTTTGGATGGACCCATCTCTCCTGGGGGAGTTGGTACGGGAGTGAGTGGAGGGGGGGCTCTCCCGGTTGATGTGGGGAAGACGTGGCTTTGGGAACAAGGCTGACGGCCGAGGGCTTCTCTCTCAGGTCCTCCAGTGGGATCACACAGCAGACCCGGCGTTGCCGTCAGAGCAATTGCTGTGATACGAAGCCCAGGGGGAAAGAGTCCCACTGCTTGTGGTCAGATTCTGGCATCCACTGGACACGCTAGATCGGTCCACCCCCCAGCCACCGATGGAGCCAGTATCAGAAGAGGGTTGGAGGTGTTCCTGTTGGTAGGCAATCCATCCAAACCTTTCTCTATCGAGGCGGATATAGGGGTCTCCAAGCTTGGCCACTTGAAGACTGGTGGACTTCAACTCCCAGAATCCCCCAGCCAGCCATTGAGATTGCAGGGGAAGGGATTACAAGAGAGTCAGCTATGCCGGCTGGAGAATTCCGGGAGTTGAATCTTGAAGTGGCCAAGGTTGGAGACCCCTGACCTATCCTATGCAGCACCCTCAATCCCCCACCCCCACAAAAAGACCTGGTTGTGTCATCAGGTCTGGGGGTTCCAGGGAACTAGACATTCAACACTGTCGTGGATTCTCTGTGTGTGGTTTGCATATATATATATATATTTTTTACAGCGCTTTTAAAATGTTTTTCCACGCCTACGTTGCTTTGCGGATTGTTCCACGCAACCCAGCGTTGCTTGTGGCGTCACGGGAGGGCCAGATCAACGTGATAAAGCCTGGGGAACGTTCTCGGAGTGAGCATGTAAACTCAAAACTCTTCCTGTTCCGAATCCGAGGACGTTTTTAGGCTCTCGGAACGGCGGCACAAACACGCTCGCTCTGACGCAGGCGCTTTCCATTAAGGCTAACTGTCAATCACCAGGTGTGCTGACACGCTGGGTGATTGGCACAAGAACTGCTCCGCCAGCCCGCCTGCAAAATTTCCCTCCCTGGGCAAGAAACGCCCCCCTGTGTGTCCCCCCCACCCCGGGGAAGACTCTGTCTCATCCAGTTACTCTCTGGGAAGGTTTTCTCGTCTCTTGTGCTATTTTTCAGAAAAGAACAATCGGAAGCGGTGAATCTCCTCCTGCACGTTCGACTCTTTAACTCGAGTCTTGCCTTTTTTTTCCTTTTTTTTCCTTTTTTTTGTTGTTGTTGTCTTGGAAAAATAAAAATTAAAAAAAAAAAGGAAAAGGAAAAGCCATCCAGTTCACACATCTCTATCTTTAAGAGGCATCTGACTTGCAAAGCAGAAATACAATCGGTCAAAGCTCCTAAGGTCCCGGTCAGGATGCGATGAATGGATTGGAACAGAGGCTTTCCAGAGCCTCACTTCCCTCCCTGCCCTCCCCCCCTCTACATGGCCATCTTGGGAGGAAATGTGCAGCGGGAAGCTTCCGGAGGGCGGCTGAGCCCAGCCGCTCAGGACTTGAAGACGTGGACGGCCCGGATGACAAACTGGCGGCAGATCGGACACTCGCTCAGGCGCTTGCCGCATTTGGTGCAGGCGACCATGTGGCCGCACTCCAGCAGCACGCAATCGATGACCGCGTCCATGCATATCCGGCAAAGGTTGTCGTCCTCGTCGGTCAGCAGAGGTCTCTCTCCTTCTGCCAAAGGAGCAAACGGCACGGTTAGAGGACGCCTCCCGTTTGCTGACCTAGGTTGTGTCGTTTAAGGACAGCGGCTCTTAACCTACGGCAACGAGGGATAGGAACTTCTGTCGCTAAGCGGGTGTCAACTCATAAAAGTATTTTCTAGGGTCTTTTTAGAGTTACCGGGAGAAAGGGCAATCAGTGGGGCAGCTTGCAAACCAAAACCGCATTCCATAAATGTTTTCAAAGATAGTAACTAGGCAACTGAAGTTTCTGCTGTGCAAAATTCTAATTGGAGAGCCTGATTGATGACTCTGGGCTATGGAGGCGTCCCATTGGAGAATATGAATTGCAATACACCCAGGGGGCGGGAGAAAACCAGGGTCAAGAGTGACAGTGAATGATGTGTCTCAGAGCACCCAGGCAGTGCTGGCATGTTCACCCCTAATAAATCAAGTTTTGGAACTTCAGCAGGGGACTCATGATTTAAATGGGGGGAGCTGCCGGAGCTCTGACAGCGAGGCATTCCAAGGCTCCGGAAGGGAAACGGAGATCACGCGCCTTCCCTCCCGCGAACAAATGGGCGAGACGGGGAAGACAAAAACCGGGAGACTCACGCAGCCGGTGATTCGTCTGGTTCTCCTTGTAGAGCCAACTGACTTTTTCTACCAGTTCCCATTTTTCGCAACATCCCGAATAATTGACAAAGTTACAAGCTAGGATTTCTTTCAGCTGCCGGACAGTCAGCCCTTCCACGTCATCCAGGCTGGAGATGTCGGACAGCGAGGCCCTGGCACGTTTCCTGGACTGGCCTGGAGTCTAAAAAAAACACAACAACAGGTGTTTTCCATGGGCAAAGGAGAACAACGCTCCAGGGGCAATGAGCCCACCGGTCCTGCAAAACTGGAAAGCCAAACCACCACCAATTCCCTTTCCCCCACCCCTGAAAGGGCATCTACCCCAATTAGGCTGGGAAATATTGTTTGGTTTGCCTTCAAACCAGGGTTGTCCAAACTTGGCAACTTTTAAGACCCGCGGACTTCCAACTCGCAGAATGCCGGGCTGGGGAGGATTCCATGCAGGCTGGAGGATTCTGGGAGTTGAAGTCCACGGGTCTTAAAAGTTCTGGGAGGGTGCCTTAAACCAGAGGTCTCCAAACTTGGCCACTTTAAGACTGGTGGACTTCAACTCCCAGGATTCTCCAGCCAGCATAGTTTAACTCTCTTGCAATCCCTTCCTCTGCAATCTCTCTCCGCTTTAGGAGATTAAGAGAGAAAAACAGGCATGACTGGCTGGGGAATTCTGGGAGTTGAAGTCCACCAGTCTTAAAAGTGGCCAGGGTTGGAGACCTCTGCCTTAAACTATACCAGAAAACTGAGAAAGGAGTTAAAAAAAAAAACCCTTGGGGTCAAATGTCATCAGGTGGTTCGTTCCTTACTTCTTGTGCTGCGTGGTCTTCCTCCGCCCCCACATCGGCCGAGAGTCTCTCGCTTGGCCCCTAAATGCACAAGAAGAGTTGCTGCGAACTCATCCCCTCTTTGGTCTTTCTAGAAAGAGCAGCTTCCGCTCCCCATTGGCAGGTAAGATCGCCTCCCTCTCTCCCCCCGCCGCCTTCCAAGAACCTACCTGTACGTGCGTTTCATTGCCCGCGTTCTCCTGCCGGTTGGCGAGGTCTCCCTGCGAGGAAGACACCGATCCGGAGAGGGAAACGTGCTGGGTGGAAAGGCTGGATGCCTGCGAGCGCGTGGAATACAAACTGCTAGTGTCTGTCTCTTCCTCGGAGGCCAATCTGTGGTGGCTGAGGATGAGGCCGACCAGGTCTTCCTTTTCCCGACAGGTCTCCGTGGGGATGTTCCTGAGGAGCAGGTACTGGCGCAGGTCCTTGACTTTCAGCCGCATCAGCTGCGGCCGCTGGAAGCCTGTCTCCTGCAGCAGCTGGCAGGTGCAGCACCGGCGGAGGGTCTCTTGCAAGACCGAGCAGACCGAGCAGAAGTCCTTCTTGCACTCGCAACACACATGCTGGAGAGGAGGAGGAGGGGGCGGGGGGGGAGAAAGGGAGGGGTGTTACACGCCTCGCAGTGGAGGAGGAAAAAAGGAGGAATAGTGTCAACCAAAAAGATACTCCTTTGGTCTTTTGAGTTGCCAGCAGAAAGGGAGTGGGGGAAAGCAGCACATTCCTTAAATGCTTCAGATAATTGCTAGGCAGCCGAAGCTTCTGGTGCGCAAGATCATTACTGGAGAATGTGATTGAGGACTCTTGGCTAGGGATGTGTCCCATTGGAGAATATACATCCAGGGGGTGGGAAGACCAGGGTCATGGGGGAAATGAAGGGCGTGTCACAAAGTTGACATGTCAACTGCTAATCAATCAATCTTGTTTACGCTGAGAGATGCAGCTAGAGACTTATGATCTGAATGGGGCTGCATGTCGGGAGTCCTTGAGTTACAGCTGCAACTGAGTCTAATGTTTCCGTTCCTAAGTGAGTTTTGCACCATTTTACAACCCTTGCTTGCCACTGCTGTTAAGGGAATCTTGCTCTGGTTAAGTGAATCTGGTTTCCTCCCCCGCTTCGACCGAGCTTATCAGACGCCAGTCATAAACATGAATCGATTGCCAAGCGTCTGAATTTGGATCATGGTGAAGAATGGTCCCGAGTCACTTTTTTCAGTGCCCTTGTAACTTCGAATGGCCGCTAAATTAAACTGTTGCAAGGATTCCTTGTCCTTACTCGTATTTACAAAACCCCGTAAGGAATGGGAAAGGAATGCAGCCCTCAACCGGAGCCCTGAATCCTTAAATCCAGCTGTTTCCCCCATCTCTAATCCTGGGCATTTTCCGTCAGCAGTCAAGCATCACTGGAAAATGACAAGGCGGCCGGCCAGGAGGCTCCGGCTCCAGGTTTGACTTCCAAGGTGGACCTCATCCCTAAGCCGTGAGGGCTTTCTAATGTCCCCATTCTCCCATTTTTTATTTTGCCTTCCCACGTGTCGATCAGAGCCTGCATGCAGGGTAAGGTTAAACCTTGGAGATTTACCTGCCCTCCGAGCCTTAAAACCCGAGGTCTCCAATCTTGGCCACTTTAAGACTCGTGGACTTCAACTCCCAGAATTCCTCAGCCAGCTATGAATCTATGCCAGCTGGGGAATCCTGGGAGTTGGAAGTCCACAAATCTTGAAGTCGACAAGCTTAGAGAGAGCCCTGCTGCTCCAGAGAAACCAGATTTTAGAGAATTCTGGGAGTTGAGGTCCACAAATCTTAAAAGGTGCCAAGACTGGAGACCCCTAATGCTCTAATGGAAGGCCAGAACCGCAGACATTCTGGGAGTTGAAGCCCACAAGTCTTAAAGCTGGCCACGTTTGGGGAGCCCTGCTTAAAATGCTCACCTTTTTCCTGAATACGGAGAAGGAAAGGCCGCAAGACTTGCAGAGGGCGGGGTTGGCGCCTGTCGCTGCCGCTGAGGAATAGACGGTGAAGTCCGTGCTCGGGGCAAACCGAAAGGGGTTCGCCCCGCTTCCGAATCCAGGCTGCTGGCTGCGAACCGCTCCTGTCCCCATGACCTCATTCAGCAAGCCGCAGCAGGAAGCCCACATGGAGGTCGCCCCTGCCTGGAAGAGACCAGCGGAAGCAAATTCAGCCTCTGATGCCCGGACAGTCTTCCCAGGTTGAAGAAGCATCCAAAATGCACCCTCCCCTCCTGCCCCCGTCAGACTTTGAGACGTCCTGCCAGAAGCCTTGCCAGCCTGAGAGCCAATCTCAATTAAGACCTGAACCGACGGAGAGCGACGACCCACAGAGGCACCTGACAAAGAGATCTGGATTCCTGTCCATCAACCAGAGAAGTTGCAGGATGTTCCCCTTTTCCACTAAGAATTTTGGAAGAGGAACTCGGTCCTCTGGTTATGACGATCGCTCCAGGCGGTGAGCAGGCAGTTTTCAGGTCTAGGCTAAGGGGTGACGATGACAACAAACACACAATTTGTTCTCCGACGGAGAAGGGCATTTGCAGCAAGGAACGTGGCTCTCCTGGCTCAGGAGTCTGTACTTCTTTTCATCAAGGGAGCTCGGTTCTTCCCACTTGGATCCCCTGGGACTCCGGGGTCTCTTGCGCGCCTGCCATTTTCTTCTCCGATCTGTCTTGGATCATTTAGCCAAAGTTGGAAAATAAAGGAGTCCACGGAGCAAAGCAACCAGCCCCACAGTTCCAATATTCCCCATCCAAGCAGGCTGGCTGAGCTTCCTTGGAAGGTTTTTCAGAAAGGAATCTGGTCTCTTGCAAAAGCTACCCAAGTCTCGGGATTTACACCAAGGGAAAAGCAAAAGAAAAAAAAAAATGAGCCCGGACAGTAACTGTACACGTAACGGTCCGCCCCAGGATGCAGGTGCCATCTGCTTCAGGGATCAGCCTGATGGATAATCAATCCAGCTTTAGGTAATTGTTGATGGCTAAAAGAGGCTAAAATCCCCACCGCCAGGATTGCAGTTCACATGCCTTGGCCTTGATTCCTTCTTTTCTTATCTTTTTTAGCTTGTTTTTTGCTCCTTCTTATCTTGTTCCTAATTATATTATATCTTGTTCTCCTGGAGTTGAATTGAATAGAAAAATACATAAAATATGACACCACCCGAAGAGTCTGTTGAGAAACACACCTTTCCCAGATTCTTCGAGATGTTGTTGACTTTCAGGGAGTTTTAACAAAAAACGTACACACACACTTACATCATCACGCTGTTTCTTCGGAGAATAAAACACCGCAACCAAAACAAGAAGCGTATTTTAATGGAGGAAAAAAAAAAACTTGTTCCCCTATTCTTCCGGAGGACCTTTGAAATGTATCACTCCAAAATCCTTATGCTCTGAACACATCCTGTAAGAACTGCAACAAGAGTGCAAACTCGCGAGGATTAGAAATCTCCTTGCGTGCTGCGGGGATTGTGCTGACAATTCGAGCTATAAATTGTGCCCCAAACTAACCCTAAACCTTTGGGCTGTTGTCCTAACAGGCTGATTTTATACAGCAAAGCTTCAACAGAACACTGAGTACAGAAACACCAAAGAACATGGAATTGTGCCAGTTTTCACACAGCATTTATGACGGGAGAAGCTATCAAAGCGGCAAAAAAACCCAGGTCTTCCCCTTCAAAGAGGGGGATCCAACATTTCCCACCCTGGAAATGTTGGCATCGAGCAGGCACTTCGGTGGAACAGTTCTTCCAGCTAGTTTATTTTTCGTTTTTAATTGGCCAGTTTCTGGATGCATTCTGAACAAAAGAACTCGCTGTAGCCAGAATGACTAAGAAAGCATTTGGGGGGAATTTAAGAATTCTGCCCTTATCTTTTAGTCCCCAACGCCCTTCTTTCTGTCTTGAGCCCATTTCATTTTCTCTCTCCAGCTCACATTTCTCTCACAACCACTCCTGAACCTCCGATCGCCACCAAAACAGCCAAATTCTTCCTATCGGTTTCAATTGTGCGGCTGCAATCCTCCTTGGGACAGCCTCTGTTTCTTTCAAAGATGCTTACTTAAACAATCATTCTTTCAGAGGAAGATCACAAGAAATGGCCGAGAAGATTCAATATACAAATCTAGAATCAATCCACAACCATGTATTTTTTAAAAACCTAAAACTACGTAAAGAACAGCCTAAAGGAAATCTCCAGCTAATCCCTATCGCCCAGAATTTTTTTTTTTAATTACCTGTTTACAAACAGAGTCTAGAAGAAATCTACGTGGAATTCCAAGCAAATAATATTCTTTAGATCTGGGGCTACAGCAGAGAAGATCCTGCTGCTTGTAAATAAGAATTCGAGAGCTTTCAATAGCAAGCAGGACCATCACAGCTGCTGATCCTTTTTCCTTGCAGGAAGTGACCCTGGGGAGGAGATCACGTCCAAAATTGTACCTGTTAGTCATACCCAATAAACTTAACCTTTTGTGACTATGGAAGACCCATCTGTGTTTATTCAGAAACAGACCTTAGGCATTCAGCAGGATATATTCTTCCGCAAATGGCAGGATTGCAGCTAAAGATCTATTTAATCAGATGAAGTGTATCCTTGTACACATAATTTATAGGTATATGTACATCCCACATAAAAATGCAAAGCTAACTTTTACCCAAGCATTTTTGTCACAGACTTTGAACTGGCCACCCCAAGCATGGCTTTGATAGTCAAATTTCCTGGACCTTTAATTTAAAACCCTGCACTAAGCAGAGAGTAGGATTTGTTGTCCTTTCTCATTCTGCTTTTCCCACTATTTGTTAGGCTGTAGAATCTATCACCTGCACTATAGTGAATATTCCAAAGCTCCATTCGACATTCTGGTTGATTACTTATAAAACAGCTGTCACTAAAGAAAGAAGAAATTGTAACGGGAAACATCGCGCTGGTTCACGTTTTCCGGTGGTGATTATTGCCAAAAAATTGAACCCCAAGGGCTGGGCTGTCATCTTAGATCCTCTTGCTTTCCAATAAACAAACGGCATTCCTGCACATATTCCTCCAAATAAGCCCCCGTGAAACCCAGAAGCCTTGTCCCCGAGGAGAGAAAATAGCACCCCATAGTTGTTACTGTGCAAATTCAGATACGGTCCCATTCCAAAGTTTTGCAGGTGGCATCAGCGCTTCAGACTGCTCTTCCACATCCCTGGCAGTATTTGCAACCTCTTTGAAGGCTTCTGGAGATCTCCCTGGTCACTTCTCTCCAATGGCTTTTATTTTCCTTCCTTCAGAAGCTCTTTTTTTGCCTCCTCTTGTCTTTTCTTTGCTATTTGCACGGCTCCTTGCAGAGTGCCCAGAGGCTGGTCCTGATGCCAAGTGGTGTCCCTGTGCACTGTGGGTTTGCTACACAACCACAACCACACTCCTTTCCCAAGACCAATCCACCAGATAAACCCGATGAGGGCTGTCGAATTGCTTTCATTTCAGAAAAACCTTCCTCCAACCGGTGCCCCCCGCCCCCCAAACCAAGACCAGGGCCCGAGGGTTGTTGCTGCTGAGCCCAGATCCAGAAGTAATAAACATTTAATAATAATAACAACAAAATACAAAGACCTACAAATAGAAATAGAACAATTATTGCAAAGGCAAGCAAGGGTAGTACCAATAGTCATAGGCGCCTTGTGTACAGTCCCAAAACAACGGGAGCATCACTTGAACACCATCAGTGGCACTGACAAATTTGCCATCGGTCAATTGCAGAAGGCAGCGTTTCTTGGATAATAATAACAACAATAGCATAATAATAACAATAACAAAACAATAACAATAACATAATTTTTGAGTGCATTTTTGAATGTTCAGTTGACTTGAGTTTCATGCTTAATGAATATTCATAATCATAATTCTCTGCACTTTGATCCTTCTGGGTCAGGAGGGAAGTTTGTGGTCCTGCTGGAAGGTCTGTTTTGAAGCCCTGCTGGGATTTAAGGGTGGGGGGGACCTGAAGGGAAGACCCTTTTTTGGGTGGGGGGGGTCTCCATCCAGCCCTCTGGGAGAAACAATAACAAGTAGCTAATAATACTAAGAATCACAATGCACAATAATACCGGTTCATTATTGATGGGTGAAAGCCCCGCCCCGGATGTGCAGGCCCACCCCTTCACTCAAGGAGCCCAGATACCCCCAGACTCAATTCCTCTCCCCCCACCCGTGGGAACCCCCGCAGCCCCCCCCCCCGGTTTTAGCCCCTCCTCCTTCCCCCCTCCCCGCTGGTTCACCTTCATGGCCGCTCTGAAGCCGCCTCCTGCCTTCGCCTGGACCGGGCTAGGACCGGAAGTGGGGGGAAGGGGCTCCAACGGCTCAACTGTCTCCGGCTCGCGCCCCCGGCCCGCGCGTTCTCGCGCCACGGCCACTCGCCCTATTCCGCGCATGCGCGCAGCCGTTTTTTCCTCCCTTCGGTGTCCAAAGCAGGTAGGCGGGGCCAGCCGGGGGGGCGGGGACCGGGAAAGAGGCCTCTGGCCGCCCCAAGCCTCCCCTCTCTGTCTTCCCATTGGCTGTCCCCGAGGGCCAATGACAGCGGCACAATCGGGCGGTTCCATTCTGTGGGAAATGGAGAGGGGGGGAAATTTGGTGTGAATTGCAGATGGGGTGGGTTTATCAGGACGTTCTTGAGAAGGGGTGGGGTGTGAGAGTGTGACGTCACAGTATTTTAAGAAAAGGTTTGGGGCTCTTACGTCATATATCCGTCATTGCATTCATTCTCTGGGGATTCATGATTATTATAATGAAAACTATTAGTATTTATTTGGGATGATTTTATAAATACTTCTAAATAAATATGTCTTTTGGAAATATTTTGGAATAATCTGTACTAGTAGCAATAATTTTAAAAAAGTTGAATTCTAACTTGCATTCATTTATTGAGTTTTCCCTCCTCAGTTCTACTTTTTTTCATCTGCTCCCAAATTATAAATTATGAACTCAATAATATAAACTAGTCCTTAAAAGTTCCAGCTCTGCAAAAATAGTTAAGAAACACAGCTGTTATTTGGAAAACAGAAACTGTCTTATGTCAGCAAAAGTTTGTGCATGATCGCTCAGAAAAGCAGTTTTTAGAATCACGTCATATGGAGAGAAATGAGCAGGAAGCTTTTCTGGTCAGGAGATTATGCTGGAGAAGTAAGCCATTCTTATCTGCTATTCTAAAGTCTTCTTAAATTTACGCCAAGGTCATTAGCATAGCAATCGGTAATATGACCTTTGCTTGATTGTGAAATAAATGTTAATAAAACCAACTTTTAGTATTGAAATGTAACATTTATTGACATGCTGAATGTGCAGGATGATAGCATTATATATACATGTATGTCCCTGTTTTGTAAACCTAAAGCAAAAGACGAGCAATACGAATGAAGAGTATCCCTTTATTTATTAATTTGCTTAGCTTCCCAGTTCCAAAATAGGCCCAAAGATTCTTTCTTTTCCTCAGAAGCCGAGTCTACACAACCTAATCTGGTTGCTGAACTAAATCGTATTCTGACTTTGCACGATAAATGAATTAGAAACCAATGGGCAGGATTCACACCACACAGCCATTAAACCAATCCAAGCTTACCCTAAGCAAGCGGGGTATGATGTGAGAATGATTAAAAAGTGAATAGTCTTGTATGAACATATTGGAAAAGGACGCAAGCTTTCATGTTCTCCAGGAGAAAAGAATATTTGTGGTTTAAAGTAGAAATGTGGGATTCCTGCTGTCTCTTGAGCTTGGTAGTTTGCTTGCAAACATTTCATTATAATATTAGGTAGCCCCATCAGTGTTGAGTTATCAATCATCATCCGATATTTCATACAAAGAACTCCTTCTCTAGGGAGACCTACAAAAAAGAGAGAGTATAGAAGTTTTAAAAAAACCTAGATATTTGTAATCTAGAACAGGGGGTCCCCAACCACCGGGCCGCGGACCGGTCCCGGTCCGTGGAACATTTCCTACTGGGCCGCCGGTTTGCTGGGCGCTGCCATCTTGTTTGACGAGAAAGTGCTTCTGGTGAGCTTTTCCAGTTGGAAAGCGGCGTTTGGGTCCTGAAGGAATCCTCGCGCCTTAGTTTCATTGAAGGGGGGGGCCTTCGAACGAAACTAAGGCGCAAGGATTCTTTCAGCACCCAAGGCAAGGCGACCCGAGCGACCGTCCCGAAGCCGTCCCGAAGTGAAGCCCATCGACAAAGGTACAACGGAGGAGTTGAAGGTGGCGGGGAGAAGCGGGGGACGGCTGGCTGGCTGGTTGCTCGGCTCGCCTTGCCTTGACATGCGTGCTGATGCCGGTACCGGGCCGCAGATTTTTTTGTGATGCCGGTACCGGGCCGTGGCACAAAAAAGGTTGGGGGCCACTGATCTAGAACACTGAAGTGATTCCTCTGAAATCCATTTATCTGGAATGGAATAGGGTCTCCTGCTTGTGCAGGGGGCTGGACTAGAAGACCCCCGAGATTTTTATTCTTATTACTCTCCAATTCTAATTATTCTGCTATTTTCCCTTATTTCTTTTAAGCCCAGGGGAACTCTTGGCACCGCGCCTTTCGTTTCCGCTCTTACCCTTGACCGTGACACCCCTCAAGCTTCGCTCTCATTGGCTCAGGCCCGGCCCCGGCGCGCTTCCTCCGGCCTCGGCGATTGGCTGCTCGGCGACTCAGCGGCGGTTGCCCGGGTGATGCTGCGGGTGCGCCTCCGTATGCGGTCCCCCATCGTGGCGTCGCGGAAGGCGCTATGGCCAGCGTCCACGAGAGCCTCTACTTCAACCCCATGATGACCAACGGCGTGGTTCACGCCAATGTCTTCGGCATCAAGGACTGGGTCACCCCCTACAAGATGGCCCTGCTGGTGCTGATCCGGGAGCTGGGCCGGACCGGGCCGCAACTCAGCCTGCTGGAAAGACGGCGTCTCAACCGGCTGCTACTGCCCCTCTTGCAGGTGGTGTGGGGCGTGGAGGGGAGAAAGAGGAAACCTGCATCCCTTTGGGGCGGTTTTTTGTGGAGAAGGGGGGACATTATTTGTTAAATTTATTTGCCTCCTGTCCCAAAGGTGCTTTTTTGCAAGAGGCAGCTTTGGAAAATATCCAAAGAAACTGCTTCAGCTCTGACTGGATTTATACGCTTTGCAGACAGCTGGTCATTTGCATCCTTTGAGAGGGTCACTGAGGCCGCTTGGAGGTTTATCTGTGTCTTCGGGGTCACTTGAGGCTTCTTAAAGAAGCTTCTTGAGTGAGAATTGAAATGCCTTCAAAAGTAAAAACCATGAAAGTCCAGTTTCCTCCTGAAAAAGCACTTTTGTGACAACCATGACCTGGATGACTGAGAATCTCTACAGACTTTTATTTGCCGCCTATATCGCTTTGCGGGTATTCTAGGTGGCTTACAACAATAAGAAGGAAGAAATGAAAAGAGTGCACAGAAGTGTCATCTCCTGTCAGAAATGCAGGAACTAGAAACGGCAAAATTATTAGTTTAAATTTTAAAAGGTTAAAAACTTTAATAAAAACAGAAGTAAAATAACAGAACAATAAAATAAAGGGTGAAAAAGACCACAATAAAAATATGGCTTTAACGGTTTTTCCTATGTCATTTGGGGCTTTCAAGGGGAGGCGAGGTTTTGAGGGCAGGTAAGGTTTTATTTATTTCTATTTACTTCAATAAATAAGATGTACATTTAATTATGAATTTGTAATTTAAAAGATAGTGTACTCTGGGCAGTTCATGAGAAAAACACACAATCCAAAAGAAGAAGAAAAGGAAACTCTAACAAGCTAACAGTGTATAAGTACATTATATGTTTATATTGTGTATAAATCCAAAATATAAAATGGTGACAGGGCCAAAATGAATGTAGTCTTTCTGGTTATGACAAATAGTCAGAACGGTGTAGCTTGTCCCTGTGAATTGGGCACATTCATCCAAACTTGATTTTATGGTTGCATATGCTGTATGTATCCATCAACGGGATTAATTCAGGAAATCATATTTCGTGAACTGTGAGTTAACAGATTATGTTCTAACAGTTAGTGTTACTTCTTTATTTAGGGTCCTGATATGACATTGTCTCGTTTGATTCAAGCTATTGATGAATGCTGCCGTGAAATAGCAAATTCTGTTCAAACAAGGTAAGTGTGATTTTTTTTTCCTTTTTGCATATTCCAGTTTGTTTCAATGGTGTCCATTCTTGTTTGCTTAAAAAGACTTGTTAGTGGGGTTAAATGTGCTTTGAAGGATGTAACTTTAATAAATTTCTCCAGGTTTTAGGGTCTTTCTCTGAATAGGAAGTTTGTTTTACAAGTTTGAAAATATTTCTTTGGATGAGATAAGATAAGATAAGAATTTATTTGTCATTACACTCGCAAGCGGGTGCAACGAAATGAGGTGCTCTTCCACAAGTAAAACTGGACAACACCATTGAGAGAAAAATAAAACTAAACACAACAAACCATACAATAATCTCTATACAATTTAAAAATGTAAATACCCCATTACTCTCAGCCATTAAATTCCACAAAAATCTTATGACCCTGCATTCAAACTCAAAACTGCACTTGGATAAAAACTGTTCTTAAATCTAGTCGTCCTTGTTCTTAATACCCTGAATCTCCTTCTCGATGGTAATAGTTCAGAAGAAACTTGTTAATCCTTTTTGGTGGGGAGGGTTGGTGCTACAATTTCAATTCTGATTTCAAAATACTTATTTATTAATATTCATCTTTTGGAGGATCTATATATAGTTTGTGTGCTTTGTATATAGAACATTGTAGCATCATCTGTTGGCCTCACTTGCAGGATCAAGCTGATGGCAGAAGGTGAATTGAAAGATATGGAACAATTCTTTGACGATCTTTCAGACTCATTCAGTGGAACCGAACCAGAAGTTCACAAAACAAGTGTTGTAGGTAAAAAAAAAATCTTAGTTACTTTACATCTTGGATCTTCATTCCTTAGTTAAAATCTAACTGCCTAAGCTGGTTTGCTTCAATAAAACAAACCCAACTTAGTTTGTCAAACTTAATTTTTATGGATTTGCACAATCTTTTTGATGCAAATCATATATTTTTTTTGCCACTTGTTCCGTTTGGAGAAATGCTCCCTGTTGTGGTGGAAATGGGTATTACAAAACCTGAGGAAGATAGGAGGTTTGATTGTATCGCGTTGTCGAGCTGATAAGGCAGGAGAAGGGCCAATAATAGCCTCCTCGTTATCTCTGCAGGCTTGTTCCTGCGCCACATGATCCTGGCTTATAATAAACTCTCATTCAGCCAAGTCTACAAGCTTTACACGGCTCTCCAGCAGTTCTTCCGAAATGAAGAGAAGAAAGGCAGAGGCGATGAGAGTGAAATGGAGCTGACCCGTTGCGGAGAACCGGATGAGGAAATGGAGAAAGAAGAACTGGATGG